TACCTAGTAAATAGCCTCGTGGATGTCAAATGAGCATCTTCACGTGCTTATGTTAATGTGCCACAATCTCACACGCCATTTCTTCTTTTTTCTGTATCTGCGATGGTACGAGTCTGTTGGACCTCCACGTAAAGATGATCGTACTCAGCAAACGCCTTCGTCCTAGAAGAAGCCTTCCAGCGAGTTTCACTGTGCCCGCATCTACAGGACTGCATTTGATCCACAGAAGCAATGCGACTTATCTGAAGGGTCGACTCAAAGCAAAGTTACATCCTTGTTGGGCCTTCACAGCATCCTCTTTATTGGTGTCTCCAAATTGGTTACACAACTTCTGATAGCCCAACTGGTTGTCCCGCTCCGTTTCTCTTATTTTCTTCCAATATAATTTCCTGAAAATTCTTATACCCATGCAACCTAAACACAACATTCTCCATTCTTTTATTTTTCAATTGGGTCCCACGACAGTTAACGATGTATAATTCAACCATGTTAAGTCGATTAGTTACATAGTATTGAGTTTCATTGGGCCCTATGACCTCGTGGCTCATAGGGCTGTGGCTGAAGAGCTGATATATAGCGTGCCACCACGGTGTGCATGACGTGGTTTTGAATCACATCTGGGGCGCCGTTGAAACCTATGCAAGGTCCAAATTGCAGTCCGCTGTAAGTGTTGAAAATTTGGCTGAATTAAGAAGTCGGCTTTCAGATTAAGTCTGGCAAATGGATGCTGGCAGCGCAATCAAATTTAAGGCAAAAGTAAATGTTAATCAAGTGATCAAGTGAAATTAAGACCAAATGGCAGGTATTGCGAACCTTGAATTATAACAATACGAAAAATGATCCTTAAAAGCAAAATAAACAAGCGATATTAGTATGAATGTCTCTAGTCGACATTAAAATGCCAAATCATAGCAATATGAAAATTTCACTGAAATAAAGTGGAACCATGTCTTCCTTAAAGGAAAAATTACGATAAAGCTATAGCAAAACCCATTCGAAAATATTGACAAAAGACAAGTGCAAAAATCAAAATATAAAGGTGTGGCCAGAATGTAGTAGAACAATCACTCATGCTAAAGACAACGTACTGTGTATTAGAATAAAAATAAAGAATAATGCTAGAGAATAAATATAAAGTAATTCCATGATTTATGAACATTAATATAAAAATCCGTTGGAAATATATTTTGCATTCCGTTTCTGTGAATGCGGCCTGCTGGAAATGGAAAAATCAAAGAAACAAATGCATCACTTATTTAGTGCAAAAGTTATAAATCGCATAAATTAATAGACAATCGATTAGAAGATAGGGATTCGTTGACACGTGACCAGTTTAAAGCTTTAAATAGACTGCATAAAATCAAACACACCCGATCAGGAAAAAAGAAATGAAGGACTAATGATTAGCATGGGATTATAACATCGCTGAGAAGGATTCATTATATTAAATTCTGAATATTATCTGAGATGGCTGTTTGGACTAAGGTATTACGTAAAAACAACACTACTAATTGTTAAACCAAATCGTAAAAAGATAATAAAAAGACCTCAAGGTATCTGGAGCCTATGCAATCACTTAGCAACGGCGTTTTCGCAAGTAAATATACCATAAGTTAAAATACAGAGTATAATACCACTCGAAGCACAAATCTAGTATATCAACTTAACAATAGATGAAGATAAATTTAAGTTGTAAATAGCTGTAATTTCAATTACATTTGGACCTGGCTTTAGGTTTAAGTTTTATTGTTCATACTCGTCAACTTCTGAACCCATAATCAAATATTTTTCGTCAATTGTAACAAGCGAAAAATTAAAGATATACGGCCAAATTCTTTATTAATAAAACTAGACAGTAAATGTCCAGTCATAAGAGTTTAGTTGGACGTGAAGAGATAATTCACATTCAAACATGGATCCTGCCTCACCACCCCTATATTCGGAATAAATATTGACTCAAATAAATTTTGAAGCATAAAACGCTATTTATACTGAAAAAAAATTAAGCGCTAACGGCCAGAATCCTCACAACCCGAATAGATAAACAATCACGTGATTACATATTGAAGATACATGTCACAAAATTGGTGTTAATGAACTTTCAATCAGGATGGAGTCGATGCTGGCTACAAAAAGACAAACGAGCCAAAATATGTATTTTGTGGGCGAGATGTAGCACTAAGTTGGGGGAAAAATATATTCCCACCATCTAAGTAATCAAAAAGATATAAAATCTGAACTTTACTGATGACTATAGGTTTTGCTATTTCCTTGAAATGAATATAAAGAGCATATTAATACCTGAAGTGCAATTTGAATCAGCCTGCCTTTTAGCCAAAAGGCAATGTGTTGTAATTGCTTGCGATTTAGGCCGCAGCTTGAAGTGGAAGCTGGTGATTCCAGGCGACCGAGAGCATCTAATTCATCCAAGCCCTCTGCAGTGCACGCAATGAGTCGAGCGTGCCTTGAAAGGGCCAGGTAATATAAGCGACCGTCGGAAGAATAAAAAGCAAAATTTTGCTATAAGAATAGATTAAACACTAAAATATTTAGGTATACATGCGTTAGAGGATAAACGTATAACAAAAAAAGTCAATGAATGAAGAAAAATAAGTAAATTAAGAGGTATAAAAACCTAAATCAATGGGCGAAAATTGGATGATTACAAAATGATGTAAATAAGGAAGCCAAAGAAATTAGGAAAGTGTTGCAGATAAGAATGCATAGTAATGCGATTATAAAAAAGGCCCCATTTTAATGTCAGAAGGTGAATAAGAAAATAAATCCATATACTTTAAGAAAAACAAGACAATTTTCAGCAAAAGTATGAAGTATTATATGAAGGAAGGAAGGCATATCTGGGGATGACAAAAAGAGAACTATAATACTTACAGAAATTCTATCAAAAAGATGAATCGATGTATTGGCGACCCACCTGTGAAGAAGTAAGGTAATTACAGCACATTGACTTCGAACAGCTTCACAGCGTTCTTCCTCTAAGCGAGCAACTCGGGCGCTTGAAAGGTTACTCAGGGCAGTATTACTCGTGGTAATACCTGGGCCTACATTTTTTGGATATCGGCTAGTGAGTCTGCGCTGGCCAGCTTCTGCATCACCTGCATTTTCAGCAGTACCATCCTCGGGACTCATGATACCATCACCAGCACCAATGGCATTATCTGATGGAGATCGAAACTTGCCACCACGTTCACGGCGTAGACGAGTCTTTCTGCGTCTACGTAAATTGCTTAGTTCTGTTGAGCAACGGGATCTAAGTCGACCACCAGAAGCCTCTTGATGATCAAGTGAGTCATCTACACCCTTAATTTGCTTCTCATTTTCGTCCTCGTCATCATCTTTATCATCATCTTCATCATCCTCCTCGTCGTCATCTTCGTTATCTACATCTTCTTCTGATCCACTAGTAGACATTGACTATACAACCAGAAAGATTCATTGTGATTATTCTTTTCAACAAATTTAACTTATGAAATTTATAGAAAATATGAAGACCAAGATGTTGTGGCCTGTGGTATGGTCGCAGCCTCCTTTCGATTTATGGTAGTGGGTTGACCTCGTTATCGCAATTTGATCTTGTTGTCAGGGGGAATGTACCAAGTCCACTGGCTGATGTTGGGGATCATGACAAC